AAAAGTTTCCGCCTCGTGCATGGTTTGGTTTCTGAAACTGTGAAAGAAAGAAAAAATATGATCAATATGCATATATATATACATATAGATTGTCATAACCAGCTACAAAAATGATAATACCCAAAACAATGGAGGGTCGAGATTGAGAAACATCATAATTGTCGAAGGCAAAGTAATTGCGTGATGCGACTTCCGCTTTCCCTATTATCTTCCCATGGATTATTATGAAAACAAAAATATAAAAGAGTGTTGTAAGACACAAAAATAAATCATTAATGATAATGAATAAAATTTAAGTGCAAGTTGTGTAACTTTTTTATGCTGCTATTCAGTCTATTCTCTGTCAATATCAAGTCCAGACTCCAGTTCAAACAAGTCTCAATTTGGATAATTAATTATTGTTAAGTACTTAATCATGGTCATATCATACCAAAGGTTCAACAATGCAAGACTAGTTGGTAAACTGCCAACATATTTTGGAACATTAAATGCTATTAAGACATAATAAATACATACATATATATATATATATATAAATATAAATTCTCCTTGTTCTTATTGTTCCTAATGAAGATTAAAAACTCATTAGGAGAAACAAGTTTGATCAGATCAATTATCCCTTGTGTCCAACATGAACATACAAAAATATAAATTTACCTTTAAAGCCTGTATTACATAACAGAGTATAAATATTTATGTTTGGCAAAAAACAACCCTTAATGTATTTCCCCTTTGCATAAGCATCAACAACCATTTTCCTACTTGTCTTTTGTAGGTAATGCAAAATGCTAAATTGCCATAATTTTAATACAAAATTTGTTTTCAGAATAATGTGACAATGGCATATTTATAAGTTATAATGGCAACGATGCATCTTATGTTTTTAAGTGAATGATCCTCAATAAGGCGCATTGTTTTGTATAATTTTTTATATTTGTATATTACTACTACTTTTAGATAATGGTAAGAATTTAAATTGAAAGAGATGGTTACAAGTCCATGTAAAATGTAAAGAGAAAGAGTAAAATCACTTGAAAAGCAAAGAAGGGTAGATCAAGAAAAAAAAATTGGAAAAAATAAAAGCTAATGGAAAAAATGATGTTTGGTAATAATTTCGTTTTTAACTTTTAGTTTATATTTACAAAAATTTTAAAAACTGTCATAAAAATTTGTTTATAAATGGCTGTGTTAGTTTATAAATTTGAAGAAAAAATGTAAACTCAAAAAATGAGTTTACGTTGTTTTTAAACAAAAATTTAAAAATTTGACTAACAAATATTCCTTTTCAATTAATTTTTTTTTCAAATAATTTGTTTTCCAATTATTTTTTTTTCAATTATAATGTGTATGATTCCATTGTCATTAATAATAAAAAATAAATATAAATATTTTAGGCCTGAACAAATATATTTTTTAGTTTATGTTTTTAAAATTTTTCAAACATTTTGTTCAAACTAAACGCATTTGTAGTTTATGTTTTTCTCAAAATAAACAAACACCAATTTATATAAATTTTTGTAAACATAAATAAAAAAAAAAATAAACGTTACCAAACGTTACCTAAATGTTCAATTTTTTTATAATGGAAATGATTTATCTAGAGGGGAGATGGTCCGAATGTACCAGTTATTTAATACGTTATATTGCTATTTTTGTACAAAAATGAACCGACATTTGATAGGGCATGTTGCATTTGATTAGTACATGTTGAATAACTGATTGATATGCTATAATTTTTTTTTCTTCAAAATTTTCTAATATTTACAAAAAAAAATCATCAAAGCCTACCTCTTTCTTTCCTTTTTTTTCATCTCAGTCCATTCCATCTTCTCTTTTATGCACAATCTTTTCCCAATTTATTATGTTATTATCCCTACCTAAACCTTATTTTTTGTAACTATGCACTCTAATTTTAGATTAATGATTTTATCTTACATTCTTTAATTACCAACTTTTAACTTGTAAAAATACATCAAACATAGCCAAACTGTTAGGATTGCTTGATGGACAAATAGTTATTCAAATTTTGAACATCTTCAATAATTGGGACAATATGAAGAGTTTTTTGGACTTTGTTTCCATGCCTTTTTAAGTACTTTTTTGAACTTTTTATTATATCCATGTACAGTGTCTCTGACTTTTTTTTTTTTTTTTGGTTCTCTAATTGAATATTTTTAAAGAGTACAATGAAATTAAAATTTTAATCATTTTAATTTTGGATTCGAAGGAAAAATTGAAGTTAAAATTTCCTCTAATTTGTATTGATATGGGCCAACTTAAAATAAACATGAAAGTAATATTTAAATTATTATAAAGGATTAGTTGATAATGTTTTTGAAGAGGTGTAGCCATTTGATGAAAATTTAAATATTGAATTGAACAAATTATGTATTGACAAATTTAAAAGGTTTTTTTTTTTAGGATGATGAAATCACCATATATTAATAAGCAAAATAATAGCATTACAAGTTATAATAAGAGGATTTTTTTTATTTTTTAAGATCCTTGATATTAAGATTTTAAAACATAAAGGATGCTCAATATTTTCATAATGTCTAAGGTCCCTCAATATCAATCCAGAAAAATTCGATCTAGAGAATTTCTCTGGACACATCATAGAGAAAATTTCAAATTTGTCTGGACAACAATGAGGACTAGTGCTCTGTTTCAGAGAAAATTAGGTTGGTCCAGAGATATTCTCTGGTTTGGACTGAATTTTCTCTAGGTTAGTCTAGAGAAATTCTCTGGTTTGGACTGAGTTTTCTCTAGTTTGGTCCAGAGAAATTCTCTAGTTTGGATTGAAATTTCTCTGGATTGATTTGAGGGACCTTAGACATTCTCTCCAGATGCCATCATTGAACAGGCCACCTGGGATTCATCTAAAGTGCGGGATAAATTTCGGCGTGATATAGATGCTCATGTTGATACAGTTCGTGCGGTTAGTCTAGAGAAATTCTTTGGTTTGGACTGAGTTTTCTCTAGTTTGGTCCAGAGAAATTCTCTAATTTGGATTGAAATTTCTCTGGATTGATTTGAGGGACCTTAGACATTCTCTCCAGATGCCATCATTGAACAGGCCACCTGGGATTCATCTAAAGTGCGGGATAAATTTCGGCGTGATATAGATGCTCATGTTGATACAGTTCGTGCTGCCAAGCTATCTGAACTTACAGCCTAGTATGAGGTATTTTAATCTATAAACTTTGGATTGCTTAATTCATCTAGAAAGTGTCTTTTTATGATGACAAATTTTGAGTCAAAATAGGAACAAACATCGATATGATCCCATACACAGTGGTTATGTGATCGCTTATCATTACTTGCTAATTGTTTTGATCAACTGTAGTCAAGTGCAGTTATACATACAAATGGCAAAGTTGGATATATCTAGGGACTTCAAAAACTTTAGAGAATCTTGTCCCTTTATTAGTTAGTCTTCTTTGTAAGGAACTTATATATAATACTAAAATTTTGCATAAAAAATTGAATGAGGCATTATTAGGACCTGTGGATGCTCTTTCAGACGGAACTAGTGATGATACCTGGCCAGCAATAAGGAAACTTCTTCGCCATGAGACGAAATTAGCTGTCTTTGGATTATCTGCAACACTTTCTTCTTTTGACATGGATGAACAAACCAAGGATAAGATGCTCAAGAGTTTGGAGAATTTTGCAAGAGGAATTATCGAATCAAAGGCAAAAAAAGAAGCTGGAAGAGTTCTTTTCCGTATGAAGGACAGGTAGTTGGGTTTTTGTTGCATTTGAGATTTAAATTTCTTGCAATAGCTTGATTCAATTGTTTCAACCTATAGGTTATTAAAATTGACTATAAAATCACCCACTAATTTTCAACAATATTTAGCCATGATTCTGATTCGACAGCGCGGTAGAGATAGAGGCGAAGGTGAAAATCAGAATGTGCACAAAGAGAGAGGGTTTGGTTTGAATATAATGAACATCGGAAAGAGAGAGAGAGAGAGTCAAATTTCTCTAATATGATATATGGGTGTGAGTTTAGGAACCTTAGACATCAAAAAATAATATTGTGGACCTTTTTCATTACTAAAAATGGAAGAGGGATCTTAGACTAATTTTCCTTTATAATAATCACGAGTACAAATAAAACTAGAATAAACAAGCACCAACAAAAGAGTCCCCTAGCTTAGTCCAAAAGCTCGACGCCGAGGTGGCCTGAAAACACTGGAATGAGAGTAGGAATCTTCAATCCGTGACTCTCGCTTGCGTTTACCAGCAGTAATGTCAAAGATCAATTTAGAGGATTTAGGACGACGAGGTATGGGAGCACGAATTCTTTTTGACTGGCCTGCACAACTAAACATAAAATTATCAAACAATGAAGTTTAAAACATTATTTACACCATCTTAAATAGATCCATAGGGAGATATTGTCATTTTATAATTGTAATTTTGTTTTATCCAATCACTAAAAAAACAAAAAAAACAAAAGAAAAACATTTATTAGGGCACATGTTATGACAATTTAAAAAGTATACATTATTCATAAAATATATGTGTATTAAAAATATACTGTTCTATAAATTTTATGAATGTGTGCCATAAGAACCTACACTAATTACATTATTAAAAGGTTGTTATGTCTACTTTCATAACTTTTCATTAGCTTCAAAAACAAATTAACACAAAAAGCAAACTTGAAAATGTGACAAAAAAGGAATATTAATAATTCTAAACAAATTACATTATATTTTCACATGTGTTTATTTATTAATTTACTTTGTTGGGTATAGATTAGTTTATTTATTAATTTACTTTATTGGGTATAGATTAGTGTAAGTATATTCTTCTAATGTTTAAAAAATAAATTAAAATATACAAATAAAATTACAAAAATAAAAAACCCAAATGGACCAAATTCGGAAAGGCCTGTTCTTCGTCGCCTGCATGTCCAGCCCACGCTACTCGCAGAGGACGCAAAGCTAGAGAGAGAAAAAAAAAAAATTAATCCTAAGTGTCTAGAGAAAAAAAAAAAAAAAAAAAAACACGCAGAGAGAGAGAGAGTCAGGGGAAGAGAACGAAGACGAACCCATAAACGAAATTCATTATAGTCTGTATATATATACGTATATGCGTACATATAAGGGGGGAAAGAGAGAGAGAGAGATAAGGAGGGAAGAGTTTCACAAGGGACTCAATGCTTCCATGGCTGACATTTTTCTAGGGCTAATTCGTGTGCTTTGAATTGAGGTTCGTTGTGTCAACCCAAAACCCTAGAAGAGAGAGGAAGTTACGAGGAGTGCTCAGTGTTAACCCTAGCTGGCAATTTTCCCAGTTTTGTTTGCAATTCAGGTGATTTTGTTGTTTTTTCGAACTTTAGTGCTACAAACCCTAGAATTTTGGACTAAATGTGCTTGCCTTGTAAACCCTAGAATTTCGACCTATTGTTCGAATTGCTTTTTATGGTTCGTTTTTGAGGCAATGAATGCGAAATTATGGTAACTTTGATTTTGTTTTGCATTTAATTGAGGTTTGCATGCTTAGTTGTGTCATTGCATGGACCTTATTTAATTAATGTGTGATTAAATGCGGTAACTTGCTTGTGTGAACTAAGTAATGTGGGTTTGATTGAAAGCTTAGATTTTTTGAATTTTAGTCGATCTATTGAAGCTGCCCATGTGGGAATTTGAAGGATATTAGAGGCACTGATATACAGAATGTATAGTACACACTACACAGTGCACATCGGTGGGGATTGTGAAGTTTAAAATGTTATTGTTGTAATTGTTATGTTTACTGATGGGTGGGCATTGGTTTATGCAGTTTGCAATATCATAAAGAAGCGGTCTTTTGTCTTTTATTTATATGCCCTTTGACTTGATTTTTCCGTGGTCAGTTGATTGATAATGAATGGGTTTAAGATTAGTCGATTGGATGTTTACTAGTCACTGTTATACAAGATTGATAATATAAAATTTTAATGTGAATATAGATGTATGCAATAGAATAGTTCACCTATTGTTTTGTTTCATTGTATTTTTTGCATTTTCTTGAAGCCTTATCATCCAAATGGGTTGTAAATGACATTTTTTTTTGGTGCGTGTGCACTTGCGTGCAATCACAAGAACTGATGCTGTCTTGTTATATTTATTATAAGTGTTCTACCAGTTTCTTGGTAACATTGGTATTGTTCATGGTTGCCAAAGTATATTGCTGTGTTGTCCTTATCCTGGTCATATATATATATATATATATATATTCTTTTCAACGGTGATAAAATTTTAAACTAGAAACCTTATTGGAAGTGATTTTTCTAATGTCACCTTGTATTTGTTACTATCCTACATGCAATAATTATCACTCTTGCCGTATTTGGCACACATCTTAGGAGATAATAAAGGTTTAGGAGATATTATTCCTGGTTGCCAAAGTATATTGCTGTCTTGTTACCTTAATGCTGCTGCATTAAATAATCTATGTATAAAATCTTTCTTAATTCAATAGTTTGGCTGGAAACTAATCTATTTAAGAATATAAAGTTGTATATGAATGGTTAAATTAATTCAATAGTTGGATGCTCATTTGATTGCTGTTTCTAATCGTACAACTAGCATGTCAATATCCTAACATTGGCATTAGACAATCTTCTTTTCTTTGTTTTCCTTTTTATCTTTTAGTTAGGCCTCGTTTGGGAACATGTTTTTTTAGTAACTTTTTGGCTTTTTAGCTAAAATATGATGTAAAAAAAACTAGTATATTTGGGATGACTTTTTGACTTTTTACGAAAAGATGTGCAAAAAGTAGAGTGAAAAGGGGATTTTTGACTTTTTAGTATAGGTTGTTAGCTTTTTGACTTTTTTAGTAACTTTTTGACTTTTTGGCTAAAATAGCCACTTGCCAAACGAGTTAGTATTGGCTGTGGCTAATAGTTTTATTTTTTATTTTTAAATTACTTTTGGAACTCAAAAAAACTTCACACATATATGTGTGTTATGGATGGTGTTTTCAGCTGTGAATTGTTTATGCATGCTTTTATCGTGTAGTTTATATTTGCTTGATGCATATTGGTTGTTGGATGGCAATGCTATTACCACACACACACACACACACACACACACACACACAAATTAAAATTAAAATTGTAGTTGGTTATATGATTATGGCCCTGTTTGGTTTATTTCCAGCTTATTTCAGCTTTTAGCTTAATTTAAGCTATTTTGATGTGTTTGGTTTAGTTTAACAATATAGCTTATAGCTTTTTGTAAATCAAAAATCAACTTATTCTTTGAGTGGGGGAGGAGAAGCTTAATTTATAAGTCAAAAATCAGCTTATGTTCACAGTTATAAGCTATAAGATGTTAGATTATAAGTTATAATCACTTTCCCACAGCTCTACCAAACGGGGCTTATATCTGCAAGTTCTGTACTCTTCTTTAATGTTGTTTCTACAAGCCTTCTGTATTTGCATGCTGGATTTTGGAAAAAGACTTAATTTGATGTCATCTGCATGTTTCCAATGTTAGTCTGATGTTATTACTGAGGAAAGTTATGTTCAGGTGGCAAACCTGTGAAACAGAGTGTAGACTATCGTTGAACTCATCTTAATTTACAACACCTTTGCTCCCTATTGTTCAAGCTAGTGAGGGCAGACTGGAAACTATACAGTCTTTAATTGTAGAGGAACCGCTATATTTTTGTATGTTACGAGCTTGAGCTGTTTCTGTTTTTTTTTCTGAATCTTATTGCCATTTTCTCAATTTAATGAGGGACAAATATTTGTCTACGTATGGCCATTAACTTCTTATTTGTAGTATCCTTTTCTAGCGTTCATTGTGATCTCATTGCTCTTTATCATTCTGCTTCTAGGAATTTGATTGTAGTCATGAATCAATGAGAGGGGACACTTGTAGGTATCAAGTTAGGTATGCATGGATGCAGCTTAGGATCTGCTGTTCTAGTCAATGCTGAGGTTAATTCCATGGGGGGAGTTGTTGACGGCGGAGTTGGAATTGGTACCAAAGCCTCTCCGCGGCGAGCAGCAATTGAGAAGGCTCAAACAGAGCTTAGGTAATATTGCATACCCCTTCTGCTTTACTGCCTGACTCCTTAGATTATTATTACTACTACAAGATTACAACAACAATAACTACTACTATTTGTTATTATTATTGGTTTAGTTCTTTGTTGTCTGTGTAATTAAACAAACTGTGGTAATTGTTGATAACAGGCAGGAGCATGATGTGCGTGAGGAAAGGAGAAGAGAGCTAGAATTTCTGGAGAAAGTATGACAAATTGACCCATCTTTCTCTCTCTACCTCTTTCATTTCTTTCCCTGAATTTTTTTTTGTTATAAATATATGGATCTGGTACAAGTTTAATATTTCTGGGTGATTAATTGATTCTTTTCAACAGGGTGGCAATCCCTTGGACTTCAAATTTGGAAATGGAGCTTCTGTTAGTGTACAATCTACTTCTCTGACTGATCAGCCTCCCGAGCAGTTTTTGACCAGGTTTCATCTTTGGTTGCTTTATTTGGTCTTAATGATCCTCCCAGTTTATTTTTTTCCCTTTTATAGGCTGCCTAATGTTCTATTTTGGTACCACAGTGAAGCGAAAGGTAGTTTTGCGTTGACTGCTTCACCACATGGAGATTCTGTTGAAAGTAGTGGTAGATTGGGGGATCATACAGTTAGTGAACCCAATTGTGCTGATAATCTCTTGTTATTTGATGGTGAAAGTGAATTTCTTGAAGGTGAAAGAAACTCTGTACATCATTCCCGGAGTAACATTGCTCCATCAGAACAGTCTTCTCAGTTGGACGGGAGTCAAAATGCTAAAGAATCAGGGGAATCAGATGCCTTTGGCCTCCCAAAAAATCAAGCATATAAGCGAAGAAACAGGTCTCGATCAAATCGTGATGGTGCTCGTTCAAGTTCAACCAATATGGTTCCATCTCGAGGTGGTAATGTCTGTTCTTTGCCTTCACGCCATGGTCCAAAGGATGGGAAGGGGTCGCTACTTGATACAAAAAACCAGAAGGACCTGAATGTTTCTTCGACTTGTAATTCAAAGCCTACAAGTCCAAATGGTAATCTGGCTATTAAGGCTTTACCTTCTGATGGTTGGGTGGATGTGGCGTTGGATAATGTACAGGCTGTTGAATCAACTACTGGACTGACCAAAGTTGGTCTGCCTCTTTTAGCTGTCTGATTTTAATACTTCCAAAAACTTGCAGGATATCCAACATAATCAACACTCACAAGTTGATACACAGGAAACTTCTGCTATGATTTCTGGAGGGCCTGAATCTGTCAGTGGAAGGGAACAGGTAGTTTCAGCTGGTATTGACTGTTTGCCTTGTGTAACTACAGAAAAAGCTGAGAATCAAACTAGTTCTGTTCCACTGAATGGGTTTACCGATGCCAAGCGAGATAGAAAAGGCATACTAATTAAAGGTCAAAATAGCAGTGCTGCATTCAGCACAAAGGGTTTAGACTCAGAATCCTCTTGCACCCAAGCCAACCTTAGCTTAGATGGAAATAATGACAGTGACCCGCATAATAATTTAAGAAATGTTGATACTAATGGAAATGCTAAGGAACAAACCTTAGTGTTTGCAGGTGCACTAGATATGGAAGGTGATGATAAAATGTTAAATGAAAAGAATGAGACGAAAGCTGATGACAGTTATGCTTTCATAAATGATGAGCACAATTCTGTCCACCAAAACCACCAAAGCAATGGTTTTATTCTCAGAGTTGAGGAAGAATTACATGGAAATGGATCTGGCTCACAACATGAGGTAAAGTGTCCTACCAGCATTGATGGGATGGACGTAGATGGCAATACTGCATCAGAGACAGAAAGAAAACCTGAAAATTCACTCACTGATAATTTGAATCCTCAAAATGAATTTGATTGCACTGGTAGACTTGGAGGTTCTGCTGATTCATCTGTTCATGATAATTCCAATCCCCAAAAGGAAAGTGCTTGTGGTGGACTTCAGGGTTCTATGGATATTTCTGGGCTTTCGGAGACTAAATTATCTGTTAGGGTTTCCACTGGTGCTCCTGAGCAACAAACTTGTTCTGAAACCCGCTTGAAATTGACAAACAAGGCACATGAAGATTCTATTTTAAAAGAGGCTCGGATCATAGAGGTTATCTTCTTACCTCTCAGTCTGTTTTCTGATATTTAATTGTTTAATATTGAAGGAACCTTATGGTTGCCTTCATCATTAGGCCCTAAGATCTGATGTAATGTAGTGAACAGGCGAAGCGTAAAAGGATTGCTGAGTTATCGGTTGGTACCTTGCCCTTGAAAAATCATCGGAAATCTCACTGGGATTTTGTCCTTGAAGAAATGGCATGGCTGGCGAATGATTTTGCTCAGGTTTGATTTTTAAACAAACCCTGGAGTGTTTTTTTCCCTCATTTGCCTGTTGCTTTTTAGGATGTTTATTCCAGTACAGTTTCTCTAATCTGTATAGTATATTAAGTGCAGATTTATCCAGCCATGTTAAGTACAAGTATCTGTTTTGGAAATCTATTTCAAGTACTAATTTCTTGTTTTACCTGCCTTCCTAATTTACAACAATCCCTCTTCTAATAGGAGCGTCTTTGGAAGATTACTGCTGCTGCTCAAGTATGCCATCGAATTGCTTCTACTTATCGATTAAGATTTGAAGAACAAAATTTACGTTGGAAGCAAAAAAAAGTGGCCCACACCTTAGCACAAGCTATAACAGATTTCTGGCGTTCGGCAGAGGTACTTTTAAATAGTAATATCCTGGTATTTGTTCTTGAAACCTGCAAGTACTATTTGTCTTGATCAAGGAGGGTGGTGGTAATGGGTTTGCTCAGAACACATTTAAAGAATCTATAAGGTGGTGGTTTTTTACTCCATTTTTTTAATGGTTTTTAGTTTGCTTGATTTTAGTACCAGGTTCATGTTGTTGCTTTAATCTTTCTATCTCATTCAATTATTACATGTTGAAAGTGGTGCAATTCGTTTCCTTTTTCTTATCCCGTTCCTCTTTCTAAACCATGTCTATCATGCACAATGTATCCTTGTTTGATAAATAGGTACCCAGTGAAAAGGCAGATATAGAAGTATCTATTCGTGATTTTTTTTGTCCATCCATGAGGTTTTAAGAAGTTTGATTCCTGATTACATGCACCTGTTTATTATTTGCTAAAATAATAGCAAGAAATTTCAATCCTTAGCCTTTTAAATTAGAACTAATAGAATAGTTCTATTTTGAATATGGATATTGTGGAAATATTGCTCTGCTGTAGTTTTCTATACATTGCACAAAGCAACTAGTTTTATTTTCTAAAATGAAAGAAGATTCCTCAAGGGGACTAATGGTCGAAGTTTTATTCACCAATATTACGAGAACAGAATGTTGCTAAGGCATGCCTGTGCGGATCTGCCATTGTTTGGCAATGCACTAAATAAGTGCACCTATTTGCTTATTTACTATAAGTTGTCACATCACCTCTCTACTTTTCTGCACATCTTTTCGTAAAAAGTTAAAAACTCACTAAATAAGCAAACCCCAAACCGCAAGTTTTTTTTGTTGTAATTTTATTTTATTTTTTATGTGTGTGGATAAGTCTTCCTTTAAAGTTATTATTGTTATTGATGTTATGAATAATAGTTTGGCTGACCTACAATATACCAGGGGAAGGTTGAAGAAGCATTTATAAGGACTTGGCACATAGTGGTACTTGGGTTTAACACTATTCTGTGAGCAACAACCATAATATTACTAAATTGAAGGTCTTCAGTTCTAGTATCCAGAAATGACGCCCTCATGGATGTTTTGAGTTTTACTAATATGTCCAGTATTTTTTGAATTGTCACGTACTTGGAGCTCTAACTTTAAATTTGATCTAGGTGATCATTTGATTTGTCTGTGGTTGTTTTCTGGTGAAATTGCTCATTTTGCAGCTAATTTTACTGATTTTTGTAGGCTGAATTGTTTTATTTTTTTATTTACATCATGAATTATAATTTTCTTCTTCATCTGTATGTGGTGGTGGTGGTGGTGGCGGCCAGGAAATGAGCAAAGAGGTAGATCTGCAATGTTCTGGAAGAGATTTTGTATGTGCTGTTCACGGATATGCAGTGAGGTTTCTGAAGAATAATACCTCCCTTGTGCTGCTTGGCCTGGCTGAAGCTCCAGCAACGCCTGACAGGGTATCTGATTTGGGCATTCAAGAAATGTCATGGAAGGATCACCTTACAGAAGTATGGATTGACACTTGCATACTTTTGCCCTATTGGTTAAACAATTAAATTTGACCCCGGAAACCTCTCTCTCACTCTCATGAGTTGATCAAACTGTTTTAGGATGTCTGAATTTGATACCTGGGAGAGAAATTTTGTATTCCTTTTTGTTGTACTTTTGTCTTTTCATTCTAAAGTTCAACATTGAGTTTTTTTTCTTTGCAGGAAAACCTCTTCTACGTGGTGTCCCCTGGTGCAATGGAAACATACAGAAATTCAATAGAATCTCATTTAGCAAAAGTTGAGGTAAACATATTGCTCATCGCTGTGTTTGTTATATGGGATAAATTAACTATTTTCACCAAGTGGTGACAAAATGTATAAAAATGTATACCTTATACAAATATTTCCATTTTCCAAGTCTATATGATCCATTCTTTTGTAGAGCTATTTAGTCAAAATAAGAATTTATGTTATTCTAGAAAACTCTACCTCTCTGTCAAGGTAGTGTCTACAATATAGTTTTTCAATGATCATAGATTCATATATTTAAAAAAAAAAAAAAAAAAAAAAAAAAAACTACCGGGATAGTATGTTTGAGTTTCCGTGAGAAACTTTGATTAGTGAAGAAGCAGCTCAAGTTTTTGAGGAGGGTTAAATGTACATCATTGATGCGATTTTAATATCTGTCTGCTCTTTGTCAGCAGCTCTCTCTTGATATTTAGAGAAAAAGAGGCCATTCTGCGCTCGCTCCCTCTTTCTATTCCCATGACTGAATTTTAATCCCCCCATCTGTCTTTCAAATATGATTAAAGTAAATCTTGCCACATCATCCTGTACTCCCACTTAAGTTGAATAATTAAGAAATTTCATGGTGCAGGGAGAGATTGTGTGTGAAATGGAGCACGGGCATACTGCCAATGCTGTTGGAGGGGTTGACATTTGTTTTTATATTTCTATTTTTCCAAAAGCACTCACTTCTTCTGACGATTTTGATGAATGTTCTTTGTTATAAATGGAAAATGAGATCGAGTAAGCTTGTCGGGCAAGAAATCTTCACTATTAGGGCTTTCAGATAGACCTAGCTTCTTGAATGTTGCTGAGACTGGCTTACTTCCAAGCATGCCTAAGATCATTTGTGAGATAGATGAGTTGAGCCAAATCCCTTTCTTTGAGCTAATTAATTTTTTAAACAGGCTTGATCTTGGCTTGATAAGTTCGTGAGGTTCTGAATTCTGAAAACTGCATGATAACTACCTTTCTTGAGGTCCAACTTAAATTAGCTTGATGGAAGGTGGTTAGATATTAATGTTCCTTACCAGATATTCTTTAGGAGCTAATCAGTTTTTTGAGTGGAGCTTCAATAGCATACTACTAAATCTATTTCTGCAATTCTGCTCTAGTCCTTGTCTGAAATGGAGGTTACTTTGTTCCAGAAACTAGATAGCAACGGCCAAGGTGGAATGGGCATAAAAATCAGTTAGATATTTCTGCAAATAGAGAACAATTGGACAACAGCAAATAGGAACAAGTCTGTGTCCAGGCATAATTAACAACCTAAAAATATTTGGAATATAAACTTGCTTCTAAAATAAATACTTTTGGGTTTTGATGATGCTTCCATGATTTAAGAACAATAAGAGTTGAGTATACATTTTTTTACATTCGTCAGTGGAATTTGGTGGTTAGAACTCATTTATAATATCTTTGAAGTTTGATGTAACATGCAACTTTTTTGGCATGAGATTTTAGGATCCTTGTTCCAGTGGTTATGGCGTGAGTAAAATTGCCAATATTATCTGGTAGATCAGGTATTTGAAAATTATTTCAAGGGCATCCCCGATTTCTTTTTTTGGGTGCTTTTCTAATGTAAATTTACTTGTCAAAAAAGTATTTCAAGGCCCATGAATTTCCTCATTTTGTTACTGAATAGGCGAGTAGGATGAGTAAAGATTGTGGAGTGTACTGCTAGCTTAGATGGAGTGGTGTTAATGTGAGTGATGTCAGCGGAATTAGTGAAAATATTTGTTGTTTTAACTTAAAATTCCAGTCAAGAGAATCATGCACATGAAACAGGTACCAGGAGGCTATTGTTCCTTAAAACATTTTAGGAGTCTTTTGACCTATGATATTGTAGGTCTTCAGTCCTCTTCTACCTACTATATTCTATGGAAAAAAAAATATATAATTGGAGATGACATGAATATCATTCTTCATATAGCATGTTCTTTGGTACTGTTTGATGGGCAAAAACTTATGCTACTGGTTGCTTTCTTTATTTTTATGCTTTCAAATTTTTATCGTTCTCCCCCTAGTTCCTTTAGTTTATTCATTTGAATCTTTCTCTTCTCTCTTTTTTTTTCTTCGTAGAAAACTGGCAGTTGCATCCAAGAAGAAGTAGAGACTTCTATGTATGATGCTGCAGCAGGTATTGCTTTGACTTTTATGGTAACTTTCTGCTTTTCTTGTTGATTAATTTTGTATACTCAGTAACTTTAGTTCCATAATTTTTAGACTATGTATCTCAAGGTGGTGCATATGAAGAGGATGAAGGTGAAACAAGCACTTATTATTTGCCTGGAGGCTTTGAAGGTAACACGCCATCAAAGTTTGGCCAGAAGAAAAGGAAGAACTTGACAAAATCTAATGATGCAAGAGCATATGATCTGGGAACTAATTCACCAATCATGCAATGCATGGAAAATAAAGTTGGGACTCAGCAGTCTGTGTTAATGGGAAAACAGCCTGCAAACATTCTTAATGTTGGTTCAATTCCTACAAAACGTATTCGGACAGCTTCCAGGCAGAGGTTTTTATATCCTTTTAGTGGTGGCACTTCTGGGGGTGTTCAGGGTCCAAACAAGACAGATGCTTCCAGTGGTGATACCAATTCTTTTCAGGATGACCAGAGTACTATGCATGGTGGATTCCAGATCCGGAATAGTTTGGAAGTTGAGTCTGTGGGTGACCTTGAAAAGCAATTACCATTCGACTCAACAGAAGTATCAAAACCTAAAAAGAAAAAGAAGGCAAAGCATCTGGTATTGGTCTATGTTTTCCAACATATGCTTTGACTTTATTATCCTTTCAAATTTATATTGACTTTCCTCTCATTATGGTTGCAGGGTTCCACATATGAGCACAGATGGCAGTTTGATAACAATTTTGAGCAGGTAATGTTTGTTTTATTTATCATTGTAGGTTATGCGTGATGCATGCAGTGCTTTAAATATTCAACATGCTGTTTAGACCTGAAGTTAAGAAACAGGAAGTAGAAAGGCAATTTTTATTGATGGGAACATATTGGGAAACCTGTCTCTCTTCTTTCTCGTAGATTATTCAACTGAATACTATGCTAATAGTAATCCTGTAGAATAATGTGCTAGTTATCCTACAAACACCTCTCCTCCCCTCTCAGTGGAGGGGGCATATGGCCCTTTCGTATTCCCAAGTACTTGTTATTGCTATAGCTTGATTGATGTTCTCTTCCATAGTCAATGATTTGATCAGCCAAACAAGGGTGATATCCTTTACTACTATTCCTTAGAATTGTAATCAATTTCCTTGTATGTCCTTTTGAAATGCAGAGGGATCATTCAAAAAGGAGAATGGACAGTCATCAACTTGAGTCTAATGGTAGGAGTGGTAAAGTCTTTTTCTCCCCATCTCATATACACTATAGTGGTTTGTTTGATGTATGCGTTGCCTTTGGTATTCTTTGTTATCTTTACAACTTTTGTCTGTGTTATTTGAAGGTTTGTTTGGCCAACACATTATGAAGAAGCCAAAGATGACAAAACAATCACTGGATAATTCTTTTGACAATCTTACTCCAATGTCCGGGACAATTCCTTCTCCTGTGGCTTCCCAGATGAGTAATATGTCCAACCCTAATAAGCTCATTAAAATCCTTGGTGGCCGGGATCGGGGAAGGAAAACCAAATCGTCGAAGGTACATATGGGGATGACTTAGTTGACAACATGATTTTATCATATCCCCATTGCCCCTTCTCTAGCTTCATTCATGTAATTTATCTGTGAATTTTGAGCGTTTTCTCTTTTTGCAGATGCCTACTGGGCAACCAGGGTCAGGAGGTCCATGGTCACTATTTGAAGATCAGGTTAATAGTTTCTTTCTCATCCCTGAATTCATAATCTGTCTTTGTTTGAGGAGATATTGTCATGATCTGAAATTTTATGATTTTGACAATTTAGGCCCTTGTTGTCCTTGTACATGATATGGGTCCACATTGGGAGCTTGTAAGTGATGCTATCAACAGTACTTTGCAATTCAAGGTAAATCTACTATGAATTTCCTTGTGCCATTTAACCTGCCTTCTAAACCAGCTTTTAGCCATGAAAAAAAGTATTATCCATTATTTTTTTGCAATTCTGTTTTCTTTGTTTGTTCTGTTATGTGTATATGTGCATTTGTGTGTGTTTATATAAACATCTAACGTTTCTTTGCATTTGATATGCTTATCTTGTTAATATGTGCAGTGTATATGCCGGAAGCCCAAGGAATGTAAGGAGCGCCATAAAATTTTAATGGATAAAACTGCTGGTGATGGGGCTGATAGTGCTGAAGATTCAGGGTCTTCTCAACCCTATCCGTCTACCTTACCCGGGCATTCCTAAGGCAATATTCTTTATTATCTTCCTTTTATCTTATTCAAAAGTTTTCCGCATCATTCCTGTCAAGTTAAACTTAACATCAATTATCTCTGCTTTTTGGCACGATGCATCAACCATTGGGTTCAAGTTTATTTTAACTGCTTTGTTGGTTGTTGGTGCTTCATGTCATACAGGGCAGTGCCAGACAATTGTTTCAACGTTTGCAGGGGCCAATGGAAGAAGATATGATCAAATCTCATTTTGGGAAAATCATAACGATTTCGCAAAAGCAGCATTACCATAGGATAAAGGTACATCTGTGTTTTAAGAATTGTTCTAGTATATATTAAGATCCAATTATGATCTTGGATTTCAGTTGCATATGTTTGAACTATCCCTGTTTCCTATTTTTTCCTTCAATTAATTAATTTATGTCATGTCAAACTGGTGCGTCTCAGCATTTTTCACATTGTTTCTTCAGTGTGGTGCTTTACTCTGTTTCTGTAATTTTCTGTTGATTTTTCTGAATATCTCAAGCTTACATTGCATCTCAGGCATTTTATTGAACTTATATCATATCATTTCCTTTTGACTCGTGTTTGAATTTAGAGCTTACTTTGCCCAGTTGTGTGCAAAGTTTTGCTGTTTCCTAGCTTACCCAGTAGTTGATGAATTCTTCAATGCCGTTGTCTAAAAGTACCAAAAATAAAATAAAATAATAATAATAATAATAAATTTCACGTTATGTTACTTGAGGTATTTAACAGAACTAGAAACAAACATTGTGCAAAGGGAAACACTATATTTGATTGTATGCATTGCTTGTAGATTAGTCTCTTTCATGGTTTTCTTGGCCACGGTTGAGATTAAATTTTAAAAATGTTGAAATTGTATTGGCAAAGGTTGATGTCTGAAGTCATAAAGATCTCAAGATGACTCGAACTGGAATCGAATAAAATTTTTATAAAGTATATGTAAATTGTTGAAACTCTGGACCCCTGATATCTGTGCACTTCCATGCAGAGGCATTTTCATGAATCCAAAACTTTTTATTAGTCACACTGAACCTGAACTTATATTTTGATTTATTTCTTTGTACAGAAATACTATTATTTGAGATTGGCATTATGGAGAATGTTCCTTGCTTGGATTAATAGAGTTTTAAAAGGGATAGGCGGAAAAAATATTAAGTAGAAATAAAAAGTAGTGATATAAAATAAAATGTTCTTTGAACATCATAAAGGGTGGAAATAATAGATAAGAGTCCAAAAGCTACCTCTTAAACTCGCTATTTTTGAATTTATTCATGATTATGATGCTATGTTTTGGTTTGTCTTTTTTGAAGAATGATAACCAGGATTTAAAACCAATCCAGCCACACCATTCTCATACAATTGCTCTTTCCCAAGTTTGCCCAAATTACCTCAATGGAGGGCCTCCACTCACGTAAGTTTTGGTGCTTCTGTGCTTTATAGTGTCTCTTTTGTGTACTCTTTCATTCTCATATGGAGTACTGTAATTTAGTATCCTTCCTTCTTTCCTGTTTTCTTTGGATCTAAGTTTTATTTTCTTTTCTTTTTGCTCAGAAATTGTAACTGAATGTTCTTATCTTTCAAATGTTTCAATGAAGGCCTCTTGATCTCTGTGATACAACTACATCAAGCCCCGATGTTCTTTCCCTTGGATACCAAGGCTCTCATACTAGTGTTTTAACAATACCAAATCAGGGCACTGTTGCATCTGTGGTTCCCATTTCTGGTGCAAATTCCTCATTACAAGGATCTTCAAACATTGTTCTTGGCAATAATTTTCCGTCTCCATCTGGTCCCCTTAATGCCCCGGTTAGGTAAGATAATATTTTGTAGCTCAAGATTATGATTTTGTCTTTGTTATCAGATTCTGATTTTGTTGTCAAATATGTTGTGGCACTGTACTTCACTTAGGGATGGTAGATACGGTGTTCCTAGATCAGCATCTTTAGCCATTGATGAACAGCAGAGAATGCAGCAATATAATCAGATGTTATCTGGTAGAAACGTTCAGCAGCCTGGCCTTTCTGTTTCTGGGGCTCTTCCAGGAACTGATCGTGGTGTTCGCATGTTGCCTGGTGGGAATAGCATGGGCGTTATGTGTGGGACGAATAGAAACATGCCAATGGCAAGGCCCAGTTTTCAAGGAATTGGCCCATCATCAATATTGAACTCTGGGGGTTTGCTTTCTTCCAGTATGGCAGTGATGCCGAGCCCTGTTAATATGCACTCTGGAGTTGGTTCTGGTCAAGGGAACTCAATGTTGAGACCTCGGGATGCTTTAAATATGATGCGGGTAAGTTTTCTACTATTTTCATTTTTTAGATTAAGAACTTCTATAACAAATCATCTTTATTCATTAAAAAGAGGAAATGGCTTCTATGAAAAATCTTACATTGTCATCCATTAATGCTGTATTTGGTTTTAAATTCAATTCAGATGTCTGGACTTGCTGGTCAAAAAAATAAATAATAAATCAGATGCCTGGACAAAGCTGTTAATATTAAAAACCACTTTTGCCCCCTTAATGATAGTTGCTTTTTTTAGGTTTCAGAGTAATAAGTAGTGATTAATATTCCTGGCAGAATATGCTGACATTTAAAGTCATCAATTGCTCTAAACTCCTCAAGCAGTCAAGTAGATATTTCTTTGAAGGGACTAATTTCAGAAATCAGAATCAATGATGCATGTCGCATTGATGGTAGGGATGGGGGTGTCTTAGGTTGGTTATAACAAACGTTGTACATGTGAGCAATCAGGCCTCATCTCTAACATCAAAAGGAATAAGACAATATGAAGTCACTCCCAACATTCATCCGGTTTTTAAATTCTTGTTAGATCACTAATTGTCCCGAAAGCTTAAGCTGCTTGAAAATAGGCTCAACAATATATATCGAGTTAACACTTCCCCTCATGTGTGATTCTGTGTCCCATGTCAAGAGGCAAGCAAACTAAGAGAATAAAATGCACGAAGACAAATATAATAGAGTGCACACAAAGATAATGGGTTGAGAAGGCTTGAACCCAAGATCTCCTGGAATCAAATCTCTGATACCATGTTAGATCATTAATCATCCAAAAGCTTGAGCTGTTTAGAAATAAGTTCAACAATGTATATCAAACTAACACTATTATTTAGTGACAACATAGTAATGTTAATATGATGTTATAATTGTTCAACAGCTGAGGTGTATTGGTGTATCATCAATCGAGGCTTGTCTGTGATGAGGTTGACGGGCATGAAACTTATTGCGTTGTGGGTGCTCAAATGTGAAAAGCTGAAGTAGAAACAACCTCAAAGTAGTTGGATAGTTATATTACGTGTCATTGATTTCAATTTTCTTTGAAACCAATCTAAAACATGCTTAGAGTGAACATGATTTTTGAATGGATTGAGAAACCTTTAATTACATGAAAATAATTACTGAACGGTGTGGCTGGAAAATATTGGAGATTTGACTCCCCCGAGTCTTGTGCCTTGTGTGGTTTAGGCATTTGATGTGTACCATGAGTGTGGAATCATAGCCACATGCTTACTTTCATTGCATTTTAGTAATGTGGGGGACACAAATGGTTGAATTTTATTGAATATAGTCACCCTCAGGTATGGAATATTGTTAACGTCAATCTTGACCATATACAGGATGATTGGTTTGTGTTGGCAAGTGGGTAAGGAATTGTTTTATAGATCGTTATGCTATGTGTTTTTAATATTTGCAATGAGAATATCTTCATTTTTAAAAGCCATTTTATTCTAGTGACCAGTGAGTAATACTCTTTTAATCCAATAGAGATTTCAATGATTCCGATTTTTGTGTTTCTGGAAGTAAAAAAGACAAATGATGGGAAATTTGTCCCTACCTATTTTCTTGTTGATGTTCTACTTCAATGAAGAGAATATTATCTGAATTATATGTGCAATGAGGAAGAGTGGATGATATGTTTCTTCTTCTTGGTCTATTATGCCTATTTTTAATCATAGGAGTTAATAGGAGGTAGGGATCTATATATGAACATAATTGTATTGAGATCCATAGCTCCGACCTATTCCAATAGTGAGAATGAATGTTATTATCCTGCTGGGCGGTCCAGTGTAATCAACTTGTAATTGTGGATTGACATCGTCAAATCATAGATTGAGATAAAAAATCCTCAAACCCCTCGCCCAATCACCCCACCCCTCTAGCTTCTCTTTTTTACTTTTAATAGTAGATTGTGCTACTATGATACTGTCTACAGGATCTAGATTATGAACAGGCAGTCCAAGCATGCTGAAAATTGCTTAATCAAGTGTTGGTTGTTGTACAACTCTAGACCATCTGTTGCACTCATGCTACTGCTATAACTTCAGTGTTTTCTCATAGCTTCCATACCTCATGTAAATGTGGATTTTCTTAATATTGTATGCTCGCAACTGTCAAAATAATGGTCTAGGTGTAGAATAAATGATTGTTGTGTACTTGGTGTTTCTTTTCGACTTCATGTTCACCCTTACGTGGTGCCAAACAGTCATCTTACGAGTAAGAATGCATTTCTAACAATTTACAGTTAAAAATTGCATTTTGTACTTTTGGTTTCTTTGATAACATTGATTATATGGTCATTTAGCCTGGCCAGAATCCAGAGCATCAAAGGCAAATGATGGTGCCAGAGCTTCAGATGCAGGTTGCCCAAGGGAACAGCCAAGGAGTCCCTCCTTTTGTTGGACTGAGTTCTGCTTTCTCCAATCAGACGTCTCCACCTGCTCAGACATATCCACTCCACCCACAGCAGGCTCATGTGCTCAGTAATTCTCATCATCCTCACCTTCAAGGACCAAATCATGCCGCGAGCACCCAACATCAAGCCTATGCAATGCGCATTGCAAAGGAGAGGCAAATGCAGCAGCGTTTACAGCTGCAGCAGCAACATCAGCAGCAATTTGCTGCATCCAATGCTCTGATGCCACATGTACAATCTCAGTCTCAACTGCCCATATCATCTTCTATGCAAAATAGTTCCCAGGTTCAACCTCAAACTACTTCTGCTCCAGTATCACTGCCTTCGACTCATTCATCCTCAATGACTCCTATGTCACAGCATCAGCAGAAGCTTCACATGCCGCCTCATGGGCAAAACAGGAACCCTCAAACTGCTGGTAGTGGGTTGACTAATCAGATGGGAAAGCAACGGCAACGTCAACCACAGCAGCAGCAGCAGCAGCAGTCATTTCAACAATCTGGCAGGCACCACCCTCAGCAGCGTCAACAGTCACAGTCTCAACAGCAGGCTAAACTTATTAAGGGAATAGGTAGAGGGAACGTGCTAATGCATCAGAACCTCACAATCGATCCCTCTCTTCTGAATGGTATTTCCACAACTCCAGCTGGCCAATCTGCAGAGAAAGAAGAACAGGTAGTGCATTTGATGCAAGGCCAGGGTTTATATCCTGGGTCAGGGCTAAATCCCGTTCAACCATCTAAATCTTTAATGCCTCCTCATCAGCAAAAGATGTATTCTGGCCAAGCAATCCCTTCATCAAAGCAAGTTCAGCAGATGCCTTATTCAGATAATAGCAATCAAGGACATGCTGCACCGGCCACTTCTGGTCAAACATTACCAGTTTCACACTCGGTTGTGACTTCTTCAAACCACCAGCAACTACAGCCACACCAAAAGTCAGTGAATCAAACTCAACCGATTGTTCAAAGAGTGTTTCAACAAAATCGCCAATCGAATTCTGACCCACCAAGCAAGTTGCAAGCTGGTCAAGCTCAACCTGACCAGCAGCCTGTGAGCAACTCACCTCAGATGGGTACAGCAACAGCAATGCCTCAATTCACTACTGATACAACTACTGTAAAACCAGTTGTTTCGTCTTCGGGCACTCAATGGAAAGCACCAGATCAGATGCATGATTCTGGTATGCCAAATTCAGCAATGCAGTTGGCTCCTAATGGGAGTCCGCCTTTGACAAATTCTGCTGGGAGTGAACCTATGCCGATGGTCAGCCAAGGGCTAGGGCAGGGACAGTCATCGGGTAGTTTGCCCCCTCTTGGGCATAACGGTGGTGCACGGTGGCCGGAGCACCAGTCACAGCTACAACTACCTTCAACACCTCTACCCCCACCACCACAACAGCAGCAGCAGCAGCAGCAATCACCACGCCAACAGATGCCACAACAACTGCAGTCACAGCAGCAGACGCAGCATCTGCAAGCAGGGAACGGCAGTTTGTATATCAGACCAACTAACTCTAGAATAGAATGAAGTGCTTTCAATGGATTGGGCAATACCTGGACCGGATGATCTGCCTGAGTTGGGTTGGCATGCCCTTGTTATAGCTTTGTACAGGTAATTTTGAGGTTCCTTGATTTTTGATACCTGCAACTGTCGCCTGGCATGCACATATTTGGTTTACTTTGCATAGGCTGGTGTTACGTGGGCATATTTTATTGGGGCAAGTTATATGCAGGCCTTTTTGACATGTCCTTTTTCTGTTTGTTCATATAATCAAATAATATTCATATATTTTTTAAGATCATCAAAATATCTCTTTTGGGAAAGAAAAAGAAAAGAAGAAGAAAAGAAAAGAAAGAGTTTTGGAACCTGGAAATAATACCTTGATATATGGGATTTACTTATTTTCTCACTAGTGACCGGTGCTATTGCTTAATTGAATCTCTCCGGACCTCTTAGTTGTCTTCTCTTGCATAAGACATTGTTTTCTTCATAAAAATTAATTGGCAAATCCCTTGTATTTAAAGAAGAGATTTGCTTTTTTGGCCTTATTGCATATACTTGCCTCTGTAGGATTAGCATGTTTTAGGGGGCTTCGACATTTTCTTACACATTGATTGTAATGAAAGAGGCTGATTTGGAATGGTGTTTTCTGCAGATCAAGGTCATCTCCCCATCATGGAAATGTAAGATGACAGGCGGGGATCGTTGCAAGTTGTGACTTTACTGAAGAATTACTAGCAGGGTCAATTTTTTTTGGTATGATGTATATTACTGTTGCCTTAAAACCTCAGGAAGATAGAGACGGAGATAGAGGGACGTGTACAGGAGTCTCATCTCTCCTTTTGTGTTAGGTTTTTTTTTTATTTAATATTCTTTTAGATTTTCCCTTTATTGGTTCCCCTGTTCAGAATGGAGGGGCCTCATCTATTGGTGCCCCCAGATTAGCTTTTGTATTATTTCCCTTTTGGATTTAAGGGGGTAGCCATCATTATTATGGCCACTGGCTAGAAGCCTTTGGGAAATTTTGTGAATACAAATTTTCTGGTGCATACCCTGATCAATGTAGAACAATTTCCATCTGTCACTGTTTTGGGCACCTGTGCAATTCTTGTGGAGAATGGGGAATGGGCCAGGTTTTCTATTGACAGGTTTGATTTGATACATATCGAATGATCAGTTCTCAATTAAAAAAAAAAAGAGAGTGAGAGAAGAAAAGCAGTGAATTCAAAGACAGACTAGGAAGAAAGTGTGTAGGCATATCAACATTTAGGCTCTTTAGAACGTTGAAACTAGGAGGGAAACAAGGTATTTCATTTGTCGTGGTTTGTTTATGTTGGAAAATTGTGAGGAAAATTAAAGATTTCCAAATCCATGGCCGTAGTGGGCCTATTCGCAGTATTTTGGTCTCTGGTTGTGTTTCTTCTCATTCTTCTTTTTTCTTTATGTTTATTTATTTTGCCCAAGTGTTTTGGAAATGAAATTGAGTGCTGGTGTTTTCTAAGCTATTACATGACAACAGTACGCATCTTATTGAATTTGATTATGTTAATGAGCTTCTCTTTTTGATTGATTCTTTTGCCGGAGTCCTTCGTTAATGAGCTTCTCCTTGATTGGTTCTTTCATGGAAAATGCGTACTGTTGCCATTTCTTGTACTACCAATGAATATGCACAGAGAGAAATACATACTGTTGCTATTTCTTGCACTCCTTATGAATATGCAGTGTGTGTGTGTGTGTGTGTGAGAGAGAGAGAGAGAGAGAGAGAGAGAGAGAGAGGCTCTTCCATGGAAAATGCATACTGCGTTTGTCTTCTTTTTTAACAAAAAGAAGCTACAGAACAGCTCATCAGCAGCAAGCAAGACCTGATTCACCAGGCTCTCTTAAAATATCAGTAGAACCAATATATATAATGATTTGCAAGAGAAGCATAATACTGACTGACAAGCCAATAATTTTCTTCACTTGAGTTGGATGTTGACACCAAATTTCTGCTACCTAGCTTTTCCTAATTTTATTTCTTTAAAAAAAATCCCTAATTTCTAACATTCTTGCTTCAATCAAAAAGGGTATTGCTAAAACCTTATCAAATAAAAAACTAGTCAAGAAGTAGAAAAATTCCTGCATAGTGAACCATTGCTGGATGCTTGGACCAACTCATGATTGGAAATTTGTAAGCATAGAAGAATTTCATGGAGTTCTTAGCATTGTGCATTTACTTTGATATCAGCTATTACAGAAAAAGGTTCAAGAAAACCAAGAAACATCAAAAGAAAATTAATGGATTATGAAATTACAGTAGCTCTAAACCAATATTTATGCATTTTTTCAACAACGCAACAGATATGCTAGCATTATGTTGAAGGGGAACTATACATGTATGCCACTGAACTGGGCAGAGAGAGCCACAAATCGACTGACTAAAGTGCTTAAGCTACAAAGAAAGAACTAATCTTGCAAATAACTGAAGTCTAGCCCACATATTAAAAATGAAAACTCATGAACTAAAAAAAGCCAACTTATTAGCTTATTAGATTATTTAGGTCACAACATCTCTATTTTTTATCATGCCTCTTTGTAATAAGCAAAAAAATCAACTTATAAGCTATACCAAAAACAACCTTAGTTGTCAACAAACTAAAACCTCCATTATCTCAAATTTCTAATATTTGAATAACCTAGAATCACTTGCACAAGTGTGCCCAATAAGCATTACAATTTACAACACTAGTGCAACCAAATAAGAAAAATCCACCCAAGTATGCTCTACAGTGACACATGTTATCTATCATTCCAATGGTTCTAACATTTGCATTGCAATGCAATGCTATAGCATAAGCCTGCTCACTTGTTTACATTTGCACACAAGTTGAAGATTGGCAGATTTATGGGCAACAAAGCAAAGACTGTCAATAACAAATATTTTCTTCACAAAAAAATATGAAGAAATAAAACTTAAGCTCTTTAGGAAAAAGAAGACGAGGGGACAAATGAATGCATAGAGAACAAATAACTATATGAAGATGAGCCGGCAACAATTTTTTTTTTAAACAGAAATTTTATTTAAAAAAGTAACTGCAGACTTTTGGTTACTACATCAGAAATTCAGCACTATACATATATACAGTATTCTAAAATTAACCAGAAGAAGAAGAAGAAGAAGAACTAACAGAACCATAGTAAATATTTGTTTCTAGATGTCGAACAAAATACTTTTCTTGGTAGAATACCATCAACGTTTTAGACTTAATAGCCAATAAGAAAGTGAGACCTTACTGACTTGCAGAGCCAATCACCTCATTCTTCCAATTTTGTCCAAGATGTCCAAAGCGAAGGCCTGCTAAATCATTTCCCCATTTGGCTTGGTAGTGCCAGTGAGTTGTGTGATTATGTATTTCGTGTATTTCTCCTAAATGTCCTAAAAATAAAATTACAGGATAACTGTCACCATTTAGAAATTCTATTAAAGCAATGAATGGTCTTCCCGCAAAAATGCAATCATGAACAACCCTTGTCCTCCTCAATCAACATCATAACAAAGAGCTTGAGTTTACATGTAAAGCCCATACGAAACACACTGGATTTTTTGTTTCTTTGATAGCAGAAAAGACTGTGTCTCACGAGTAATTGTAAGGAATTTCATCAATTGTGGTTCAACAGAATCTATACTCCAAGAGGCATTGATTCATATAGCATGGAGATTAGAAAGAAATGTATCCAACAAACTACACATCTTTCTTTTGCTGTAGGACGTAATATTTAGTTGAATTAAGCTAAGATAACTTTGCATCATTAAAAAGCACAAGCCTCCAAAACCAGTCAAGAAAGTAAGGAATCTACATCACATTGTCTGTGGCTCTCAAGAAAAAGTACCTTTCTGAAATGTTAGTGGGAACACGAAGTTGGAGAAGCATTTTAAAGGAATTTAAAACATTGGATACATAGCATCTGGAAAAAAAGAAAAAAAAAAGGGGGGGTTAAAATTACATTCAACTTAACAGACTTCTGCTATTCAATTTTTCAAGGAAGGGATCCCTGCTAACAAGATGATACAATCCTTGCGTAGGTGAGGTCCCAGGTAAGTGTATGGTGAGATCAGAAATAAGTAGAAGCAGCAACAGTTGAAACATTAATGCCTAACCACAGTAGCATTGTGGAAGAGGAACTATTGACTGAAGGCTCCCCGAAAGGGTTTCCTTTACGTAGCATTGTGGAAGATTCAAGGCACATCATTCAGAGGTGTAGATGTTCAATCTGCCATATCATGAGAGAGGGCAACCAAAGTGCAGATATCCTTACCAAGATGAAAGCGGACCAACAAGACCAGCTAGTTGTGATGGAGGACCCCCCAGATGCTGTTAGAAGCCAAGCAGTGGCTGATATGGTGCGTGTGGAGTATCAAAGGCTTTGTGTTGTTGTTGAACATCTGTGTTCCTTTATTGTCTTTAAACTTCTGGTGTACCCAAAAAAAAAAAAAAATTTAATGCCTAACCACATACATATACATGCATGCATATATATATATATATATATATTGTGACAAATAAATGACATTTAAATTAAATCAAGCACAAAGCAAATAAAAAACCCTCACCATCAGCTCAATGCCTCACACAAGCCATGAAGACCACAAAATTTAGACTATCCAAGATTCTAACCAAAACCAAGGGCAACCTACATCAATTCCTCTACCTCCCTCCACTTCAACCCCTTTCTTCTACAATCATAACCGATGGTATAGGTGTTAACCAAATTCTTTAACATCCTTCCATGTCTAGCTATGCTCGCAATTGAGCCTTCTTGTCAAATTATCCCTTTATGGGCCTTGTTTTAGCTTTGATCACCATTTACAGCTTCAAGGTCTGATCCTTAAGTCCTTAAATAGAAACACAAGAAACTTACCAAACCTTTTCATTACCCACTTTGATGGTTCAGTCCTTTCTCCCCACCTCCTCTATTAGTCCTCTAATAGGTGTCTTTCTCTTCCAAACCACCAACTCCTCACCTATAATATTAGCCTCAACTGATTTATTTCACCCTTCTAACTCTAGTCCTACACCTTGACACACTCCACTTAACCTAAAACGTTGCCTCCTCCGCTTACCTTTAGACAAACTCCAGCACACCACTTCATTTGCACTCCCCCTTTATCCTCTGAAGGGGCAGTATCCCAAAGTCAGCCCCTCCAAGAGCTAACAGACACAGGAGTACATACCAAGGGTTCCACAGCCTCCACCTCCATCCCTGCAACTTCTATTAACCCCTCTCGTGCTGAATCACCTTCTCAGCACATCTCCGTGCAATCAAACACCCTCTATCTGTTAATCTCTCCCTTGCCCAGCCAACAATTCCCCACCACCAGAGTCCACGAATTCTCTAGATCCTCACAGGCCATGGAAGCAACACCATTGACCTACTTGCACCGCCACCAGGCTCCACCTACATTTGAACACAACAAAGGCTCAAAGCAACAACCTAACTGGTTGGATCATTTACCAGCGTTGTTCTCATTCTTGCAAGCTCAAGAACCCATCACAGTCAACATTGACTCTTGAACGACTTGTCGCTGCCGAAGCCCTTTTTCCTCTGAAAAACATGTAAAGGTGGCTTCCAGTGCAAGTCTCACTAAAGCATTGAAGGACCTTCCCGCTTTACCTCCTATCTTTCTTCACCAAGACCTTGAGGAGGAAGTCTGGTCAAGGCAGGAACTCATCCATTTCTTTGAAGGACTTCCCACCTCTGGAAGGAGGTAGGAACCTCCTCAGACCCTTTGTCACATCCAGCCAGCCTCCCTCATGAGACACAAACTTCATACTACTGCCATACTATTTTCCCTCATCCACGAGTCAGATACTAAGCATGTAAATATACCATGATCAAACCAGAAAAGTTGGGCCCAGCTTGGCTACATACATATGCCCTGATTAAACAAAGCACAAAAGACTAACGGGTGAACTGGATCCAAAGACCAATAACAAAGCAACTGTTCAGCAAAATCCGCTTATGCTTAGTTCAACTTCTAGATATACAGACAAACCAATGAAGAATTTTGGCTACGTTAGAAAATTCAACAATCTCTAGGGAGGATTTGATGGATTTACAGGAGTAATTCTGTCGACAAAATAATACACTCTTACCTACATTTTACCTAGTCAAAAAAAAGAAAGAAAACTTGTACCAACATTTTATTTCTATGCATAAAAAATGTTCGTTTATTTTTTTCAAATGAGGTGCAGAAGGTGACAAAACTTGGATGATTTTGTTGCATTGCATGGCACAGGATGATCTAGTGAAAAGATACAGTTTCAGTATCCAAATAGAAAATTGTAAACAAAAGGCATATATATATATATATATATTGATGTACTCAAAACATTGTAATAAAGATCACATAGCAGATCAGAAAACCAAAGAACTACTTCCATTGAAATCTTGATCAACTACAATATTCAAGATGAGTTATCTAGTCTTGACTGTACAAACATTTAGCAAAGCAATGAAAAATGACTAACATAGATCAAAATCTTCCATGCCGCAATTAATAATAATAATAATAATATTAAAAAAATACTAATTATTGCTGCAAAACAATTAGAAAGTGAGTCAAAGAACCTTCAAAAATCTTGAGCCATCTTTAACTTCTTATTATGAGAGCCAAAAGCCCTACCAATGGTATCAACAATCTTGCGCTGGGAATCGAGTATCATCTCTATTCTCTTATTCTCCATCTCCATTCGGTACCTCTCGGTTTCCCTCATCATCTCCATCTTCTTACTCTCCATCTTAACAAGCCTCTCCGCAAATGCCTTTATCTCCGCTGCCAATTCCACCACCGTTTCCCTCCCTCCTCCTCCCACCACCACCACATCCTCCTCGTCCTCCTCGTCCTCTCCTTCCTCCTCTTCTTCTTCCTCCTCAAACCTCTCACATGGCCTCCGAATCACCGAAACCCTATCACTACCACTCCTCAATTTCCAATCAATTGAAGGCGCATTAACAAGGTGATTAATGCTCTTAGACTTATTTCTCTTGCTTGTATCGATACAATTAGTTTCATTAACCACTTCCTCATCGTTATCATTGTCATCGTCTTCTTCGTCGTTGGGATTGGATTTGTGGAATTGAACCATGGCCATGGGGCGAGCGGAGATAGGGAGAGGACCTCGTTCCATGGAGTCCATGAGGTCGAAGTACTCCCAAGCGTGAGGGTAGGGTTTCTGTTTCTCAGCGCGGAATCGCTTGCGGAGTTTCTCGAGCTTGTGGCGGCACTGGATGGCGGATTTGGAGGGTTCGTCGTAGCCGCAGCGGGCTGCGACGGTGATGGCGACTTCTTCCCATTGGTTGGACTTGAGCTGACCGCGCTTGAGGGAGTACCATTTTTCCTGGTAGGCTTGGATGAGATTGACTGTCTCTGGGTGGGTCCAAGGCAAGGGCTGGATTTTCTTTGGAGGAGAGATGGATTGGAGTGGTTTTGGGGACTCTGGGTTTGAGGGTGTTGGTGTTGGTGATGGGGAGGAGGAGGGTTCGTGGTTTTGGTCTTGGTCTTGGTCTTGTGGCTGCGGTGATGGTGATGTTGGCGGTGATGGTGGTGCTGGGGTTGAGGAGGGTGGTGTCGCCGCCATTGATTGGAGTGGTGTTGTGTTGGGTGTGAGAGAGATTAGGAGAAGGATTTGGTGGAGTTGAGGTTGGGCGGTGGGTGGGGGTTGAGGATGGCGGTGGTGGTGGTTGGCAGTTGGTGAGCCAGACCAGATAGTAGGAGGGGGAGTTTATGGACCCGGAACGCGCGAATTCCCAAGTCCGGGAAACCCATTGTAAACAGGCCCAGGCTTGGGTTTGGGCTCCTGCAGCTGGTATTATTATGTATGTTTGGCCTCCTGTTTAAAATAATAAAAATAATAATTAATTTGATAAATAATAATAATAGTAATAATTTAAAATTATTCGTCGTATATACAGTGTTAAAATAAATTCTACAAACGAAACCAAGCAAAACAATATATACTATATAGTTTTAAATCTTGCATGACTTAAAGCATGGTAAATGATTCTTTTATTTTTTAAATTTGTATCACTTGCGATCAATATAACTACAATCGTTGAATTATAGTGACAATTTTGATACACAAATCTCAAAATATAATTCAATAATTAAGAGTACATTAGAATATAAGAACATAAAAATTTAAAGATAAAGATCTTGTGCTGTGTCACCTACACGATTGTAGTTCTTGTTTTTTTATGAATGAAATTTTTTTCTTTATTGGAAATTTTTTTTTTATTGGAGCAATGATAAAATAGAGAAGTGTTTTTTCAACACTGAATTTTGAAAATTTCATTATGATTTTCTACTAATAGAGATAATGTATCTTAACATAAATATTAACATTAACTTATGAGATTCAGGTTAGGTTCACAAATTTCCTCTACCCCATTATTTATGAAACAGAATTCAAAAGGTTGGATGTACAAAGAAATTGTGTATGTATTTAGAAGTACCCATCCAAGTGCAAGTTTTAACACATGGTGGGATTTTGGATTGATCAAAATCATCTTCTTTTTCTTACACTTTTTGCGAAGGCCAAGAGCAAAAGTATGAGGATCCTCTCCTGGCAAGTTCCTACTTGCGCCTATCCTTGTAGGGCCTTCGGGCCTACTTTTAGACTCAATTTTGATAATTCGAACCGTTCATATTTTATAATTTATTCAGTATATCGTACCTGTAAAAAATCAAGTTGATCGGATATCAAAAAGCATATGTTCGGAAAACTGTTTATTAAATTCTTTAAAAAAATAGTTTTTAGTTCAAATTTTCAAACACATACTTTCTGATATCCGATCAACTTGATTTTTTACATGTATGATATACTAAATAAATTATAAAATATGAACGGTTCAGATTATCAAAATTAGGCCTAAAAATAGGCCCGAAAGTCCTGCAAGGACGGACGCAAGTAGAAGCCTGCAAAGAGAGGCTCTTGACTCAGAGCAAAAAGCCTATTTTCAAGTACGGGATCTATTCTCTCTCTATTTTAGTACAATTTTAATTATTAAATTATGTCTCAGATTTATGTTCTTTAAAATTTTTACCTAATCTAATAAATTGTATTGATATCAAAAAACATAGTAATTTAAGGATAACAAATCATTGGCAGACAGTACAACTAATTAAACAATCTAAAAAGAGAGAAGAGATTTACAAAGTTGACAGTTCAGAACAAAGGAAACAAACAAACAAGTAGGAGCGTTTAGCAGATAGTTCAATTCGCCCAAATTGACTGAGCCAAATTGATTCATCCCATTTTGAATAGATATGGGATGATAAGCAGACGATTGCGGATTGATTTTTTTTTAATCCGCTTAGTTTTTTACGGATAGTAGATTTGAAGTTTCTTTGACCGCAACCGAACCACCAAATTGTAAGCACTTCTATTAATTTATAAGACTTTGTGTTTTTAATTTGTTTAGATGTTTTGTTTCTGTTTTTAATTAAAAAAGAGTCTAAATATTCCGTTGTGTTTTCAATTTGGGAATCCTTTTATCAAATGGCACGTGTTGATATTCGATATTTTTGTGTGAAAAATAAAAGGCTTAAATTTGTTATTTTTTTAAAAAATCAAATTAAATAGTTTTTGAATAAAAAAAAATAATGAAATAATTTTAATAACGCATAGTTTTCTTATATGTATTTATTATTAATATTTGATAATTTACTTGATAACCTTTTGATTATGTTAAGTTGGTTTATTATTCAAAAAAAAAAATTGACAAATTGTTGTATTATATTCAAAATTTATAAAAGTTTAAATTATCAAACTGATTCACATCAATCCGTCAATCTGTTCAACTCACATACACCAATTTGACATACAAATACAAATTAATTTTTTTTAATTTATCAATCTAACAGACGAATGACAGATTAAAAATTCTCCAATCACAACAAAACCACGAACGCCCTACGAAGAAGAGCCAACCAGATCCACTGTCACCAAGGTAAACCCTTTGGAGCAAAGCGTTCTGTGCTGCAACAAAAGATTATAGGCCACAAAGTAAGTGTTAAAACGGAAAAAAAATATCTAATTGATGTGGCCTATATGATCTATGGTGTGCCATGACCCACAAAATAAATACCTACCTAAAACCCAACCGAAACCACAACAGCATTGACTTTTGTACTAAATCACTCCTAACCACTAACTAAACTAAAGGTGAGAAAAAACAAAACACTTCATTGTTTTAGTAATTTTATTTCATATAGCTTTGTTTGGAATGTACTAATAAATATATAATTTTTTATCTTTTATCTTTTTTAGTTTATATTACTTTTTTATTATTTTAAATATTTTTTTATAAAAAATTTAAAAAATACACTTATTTAGATCATTCCAAACCACCCTAAAGTTGGTCTTAGACAAGACAACCATGAAAATATAAATTTTAACTATATAGAATTGACACATTGTGAATTTAGATATTCCACGTGATTAAAAGTTTGATGCATAATGGAATTTGTAAATATTAATTTCAACTATATAGACTTGACCCATTGTCAATTTGGATATTCCATGTGATTAAAAGTTTGATGCTTAATGGAATTTGTCATCCAACAGTAGTCAGAAAGAACAGAAATCATCACATTTTTTAGAGATTTCATAAATGAGAAAAGTAGTATGCACGTAATGCTCCAAAATGAGAAATTAAACATTATGGCCAACAAATTTAGTCTCATATCAAATTGTTGAAATCCACAGCCTCAGCTCTGTAAATTGTATTTCCATTATTAGAAACAAATGAGGTCAAAGTATATCATATTATGTACACAAAGAAGCAACCCACGCTGTCGTAAACTTTCTGAGAGAAACGAGTCCACAACCTGGCAGCAAGCATCTGCAACCGCCATCTTGAGGACCTGAAAAAAAATAAAAATTTAATGATATGAGATGCCAGAAAGCAAGAAAGGGAGAGGAGAAAATTAACTTCTTTTTTATTTTTATTTTTTAGATGGGAAGAAAATAACTTACCTCAGCAAAATTTGCGTCTCAAATTACTGTGAGAAGTTAGGAGGCCAAGCATTTTTGGGAGGTAAGGGGCATTGCAAAACAATTTCAGCAAAAATTCAATCCAAGTGGATGATGGTCATTGTCTATGGGAATAAGACTTGCAACTTCTTATAAAACATGAGTTTGGTGCCTGTTTATCAGCAAGGAATATTATCAGAATGTGCATGTAATGATGTAAGGTGGTGCTGAGAACAGGTTCTCAAATTTGAAATCTACCCTAACCACACTAATAAAATAAAGCAATTTATTAGTATTAAAAACAGCACACAGCAAGAGTCAAAAGTTTAGACCCAAAAATATTTTTTAAAAAATCTGAGATAACTTGCAATATCAAATCTTGTCTTTTTCAGGAGATAATGACCGTAGTGATAGTGGCATGAAGATATTCTTTGATAGTAATGTAGTGTTTGGTTCATTGGAATGAAGGTAGGATGGATGATCATTCTATTAGAATGTTTATTCTCATGTTTGGTTCACTAAAAAATGATGAAAAAACATTGCAAATGGAATCATCATTCACCACTGTAAGTGAATGAACATTCTGCAAAGAGGCTAAAGAATGAACATTCCATTCCGTTTCACTTTTATTCCCGTGAACCAAACATAGCATAAATGCTTAATCCTCGCTCAATGTCCACATTTGCGTTGTGTTTGGTTGGGGGATTTGGAAAGTGATTTGGAAAAGGAAAGAGAAAACGAGTGTGAAACCAGATGAAATGTAGGGTATATTTTATTCGAATTTCACTTACTTTTTCCTTTTTCCTTTCAAATTCCTTCCCAAATCCCTCAACCAAACACAACGTTAATGAAAGTGAACAATCCTTGCATTTTCCTACGGGCAATAGGAACTTACAGTCATGCTGTTCTCCCTCAGAGTTTCCAGCGACTCAGCAAGCTCCACTTGTTTTGATGCAGTGGCAAGTAGTGCCTACAGAAAGAGGAGGGGGGGGGGGGGGGGGGGGGGGGGAAAGAACTTTATAATGCTAAATTTCATAAACAATTGTGCTGCTGTAAAAGAACAAAAATATCAATTAGAAAGAAAACACAAATGATTCAAACTAAACAAAGCCTTTGGAGAATTTAGATTTTTGAAGATCCAGACTATTCAAAGCCAAGTATACTATATTCTTGAAGCACCTAGGCCTTCATCTACAAAGTTAAGATTACTCACCCTATCTATGTGACTAATATACATATAGGTGTCCAAATCAAGAAGTGAAATATATTATTCAACTAAACTGATAATAGATTAAAAATGACACAGGAGGTAATGCTCTCAAGTTACTGGGTATTTAAAGCTTGGTTCTAATACTTAGTGCAAGAAATTGGCATGGGTCATATATACTCTTCAAGGTGGGTTCATGAGAACATATAGAGTTTTTAAAGAACTATCAATATTTCTCCCCCACTTTCATTCCCAATCCCAAACTCTTTTTTCACTTTATATTTATAATTGGGCAAATTACATTAACGGTCCCTATAGTTTGAGCCTTGTGTTACTTTAGTCCCTGACTTTTCAATTGTGACACATTTGACCTTGAATTTTGAATCTTGTTCCAAATAAGGACAATTGAAGATACTATTAGATTTTTCAAGGAAAAATTGTCAATTTGATAAAATATAAATTAATTTGACAAAAATAAATGTTAAAAATTTATTTTTGAATTTATTCAAATTATTTCTACCTACTAAAGATAAAATTATATAAAATTGATAAATTTTTTAGACATTTATTTCTTTTTTTTTTACCAAATTAATTTTTATTATGTATTTGGATGATGATCATGTAAAATTAATTTTTAAAAATTAATTTATTAATTTTATCAATTTTACATAATTTTATCATTGGTAGATAAAAATAATTTTTTAAAAATTTAAAATATTTATTTGACATTTATTTTTGTCAAATTAGTTTATATTTTATTAAATTGACAATTTTATCCTTGAAATTAAACAATGGTACCTTGAATTGTCCTTATTTAGAACAAAATTCAAAATTGAAGGTCAAAATATGTCACAATTAAAA